GGCTGGAGGTGCAATGGTAACTCACCATTACTATGCGATTAATCAACTAAAACATCGTAATCGTTTGACAGCCCTAATTTATATATGGGGGGGAAGGATAGCTATCCCAGGTTTTAGTGATGTAGTGACTAAATATGTGTGGAAAGTTCTTTTTGAATAAACGTTGCTGATTTATTTCAGAATAGCGATGGATTATAGTGACACACTCATAGATGGAAATGCTCTGTAGTTTGCAGCTATGAGCCTAATGACAAAAGCCTGTGCTGTGGATGTGATATTGGGCTACCTGAGGTTAACCACAGCAGATCTTTGCCTGAGGATTAATTGTGTAAGAGGCATGTAATGATGGCTGGCATGTCCATGGAGTAAATCCTGTTAGTGTCAGCTGTGGGTCACGCCTCGATCTGCGTGTGGGTCCATTAGGAGGAAGGTGACTCTGTTTTTTTATGCATGAATAAGTCCTGTTCGCACAAGCTTCCAACATGCAAATCATGTGAGATCCTCTGCTCTGCCTGCTATGAGGAGGCCAACAACACTAGGGCTGTAAAGTTTTTTAAATAAAACAACCTAATGTGTAACAAGCCATCTCTATGAATATGTTCTCCAGGGGCATCACATGAGACAAGATAGTCCTTTATTTGTCTCACAGTGGGGACATTTCAATATCATTGTTGCGCACGTTACAACAGAATAAGAGGAGGAAATAAAAGCACTCAGATTGCACACATCCAACAGGATTTATTATTTGAGATAATAGATAAAAGAATTAAAACAATGCAATAGAATGCATTATTGTACAATACAATTAAGTAATAAGAATATAGAATGATTTTATTGCATTTACTGTGTTTGAACTGATTTTATGATCTCTTGTTGAGGAATGGACAACGTTGTGAAATCCTCTAAGATGGCCACTGTTATGAATTAGGGCTAGACAATATATAATATTCATTGAATTGAATCGAATGAACATTTTAGGCAGATAAACGCTTAAAATTGTCTAAAATGATGCAGCTTTTTGTTTTGCATAAGGATTCAACAATCGTTCTGTGATGCTTCATACATTAGTTTGGTTCCATTCAAGTTTTTAGGCCTTTTGAATTAGAGATGATGTTTGTGTTCTATTCATTTGCTGTCCTTTTTCTTTGGCCAGGGGCGTTCTCATTAAAACGAGTTCCCATGACTTATCAAGAGATTTCCTGTTTTGTAAATTCACCAACAACAATGGTGAATTGTTGGTCAGGGATTGGTCAGGGATGGTGAACCCTGACCATATCTTTATTAAATTTTAAAGATATTGGATATGATGTCAAACTAAAATAGTTTCTATAGACATGTAGAAGTCTTTTCTTGGTTCTAATTACAAATAATGTGGTTGGATGGATGCACAGGGACAGAACATAATGAATGGAATCATAATATTTTTTTGAATTAATGTTGGATTCTGGACTCTCTGCCTTTTATTGCATTTTCACGTCTGTATTGGGCCTGAGGCTAAAATCTATTCTTGACAGCAGTTTTATGTGCAGCTTTGGGATTTACCTGCACTTGGAATAACATGCTGTATTCAGTTGTTCCCATGCTGTAAGCAGATGTTTCACAGATTGGCTCGAGTTGATTTAGAAAGACTCGTGTTCTACGTGATTTCCCAGGATATGCTTCTGATCCGGGTTTTCCTATTGCTCCCCTTTCACCTTTTGACCTTGTGCACTTCCGAACAACCCGATTATGCTCTGGGAACATCGTTTTAGTTGTTGTTCCAACAAGTACCCATAATATGATCCTATAAGTTTATGCCTTGGGTGAACAAAAGTGTTCTGGCTGGATATGTTATTGCTTCAAGATATTCTATTTACTTTTTCTAATAAGCCACTCGCCACAAGTTGATGCTCTAATCTTCATATTTATTATCTAGTTATTTAGTTACTTATGTTTGTACTGTGTCTATTACCTGAATTGTAGAAAGCAAAATGGTAACATTTGAAATATTAATATGTTGACTATGAGTGTTTGTAAGCTCTCTGTCGCACAGGGATTAGTCAAAGCAAAGGAAGGTTTCCCGCCCATCATCTGTACTTCTTAGCAGGTTTGGTGAGAAACCTTCCTTTGATATGTTGACTATATCTTTTGCTAAATAACTTGGATTTAGAGTAGACAACTCTACAATCCAAGTGCTGTTTTTTCATCATCCTCCTCTCTAGTCCAAACACATGCCTACATTAATCTGATTTGTCTCTTTGAATTCAGCTATTATCCCTAAACTTCGCCTGCCCTTGACAGAAAGAGGCTTCTTCATGCTCGACTCTCCTCCCATCCTCTGGGGACTGCACTCCACCAGACGCCTTTTAATCATTTATTTAGGTCTGTAATGTTACTGTAAGTTCAGCTCCAGTGCAATGAAAAGAGGGGAGAGAAAGTGCTCGTGAAGAGATGTTAACTGTATAAGTATTTGTTTATGTCTAGACTCAAGAGCTACTTTGTATCTCTCACCCTCCTCTCTGCACAAGGCTCAGGGTTGGACGTTTTTTTAATTAGCCTATAATCTGGAGGAGGAATTTTCTCACTTTTAATTTTGATATCATGCCTTTAACGAAATCAGTGTTTAAAAGGTTCAACTTTGTGTAATCCTTCATTCACCTCGTGGAATTCAGAGCATAAAAGGTTAAAGGAGACTTACTACACTAAATACAAAACTTTGTTAAGCTTTTGACCGTTTTACAACATTGTTCCTTCATTCACATTAGACCTGGGAATGTGTTTAGGTTAATAAATGGTAATATCAGGAAGTAAAAGCAAAGTGGTGCCCATAAAGTAAGTGGGCACCACTTACTTTATGGGCACATCTTTATCAGCACATGACTGTGTTTGCAGGTGGTCAGTTTCAAATTGGGATAAAACCTAAAGATATTTTGCCCTTACCTCTGGTGGTACCATAGGGAGTTACAGGCAGAACACATTTGTTACCCCTCACACTTGTTTCACTGTATATTTTATACTAAAACATGACATTATAAAGTAAATAGTCTGTTTATTTAATCTTTAAAAAAGTCAGCAGGCAACAAGCTCTGGATATTTCCTAATAATCTTGGTTTAGACCATATAAACTCTTGATTTTTAATTTGAATTAAAAGATTTAGTGAACACTATAATCTATTTATAATTGTACACCTTGAGAATGTGGGCAGCTGTGATGATTTTAAGAACAGAAGATAAACTTCTGTTCTATTGACTATGTGTCTTACCTGCTGCTTTTGTAATTGGGTGCACTGCCTCCACAGCCATGTCAGCTTCATAGACTTTCAGAATAGGGTTAGACACTAGAAAATAACTCGAAGAGTGCTGACCTCGGCCAAGAGGCCCAGTTCCATTCCTTAAAAAAAATCCTTAATGCAGAGTACAGACAGTGATGTAATAGTTATCAAAATGTAATAGTTTGCTCCTTGTCCCCAACCAAACTCAATATACAAATAATCGATTTGCCATAATGATTTCAGCTGCTAAAAACTCCATTACAAAACGATGGCTTCTCCCCGAGCTTCCACCATGGCAGAATGGGTGAATATTGTAAAAAACATTTACATAATGGTCACAATTATCTTTTCTGTCTTATAAACACATTTGTATTAATACGTATTTGTTTACGTAAATGGGTAATACATATAAAGCCCTTAAAACTAGTCCAACCTAACTCCGTCCCCATCACTCATGTGAAATGTGTTGTATTTCTAATTATTTCGTATAAGTAGTTATACCTAAATATAAAAGTGTAAAGATGTGATTTGTAAATGTAATTAGTTGTCTAAAAATAATGAATCATAATGAAAAAATGTTTGTTCCTGTCCCCAGAAATTGTATGTTGAAGGACCAATAATAAATTCAATCCAATCACAGTATACACATTGTGCCCCTCTGGCCACTTCCCTCTGGCCACTTCCCTCTGGCCTCTTCCCTCTTTACCATGCATTGCTTTTGATTTCTTTGATTTTGACTCCACACTGTTTTGATTATCGATGATTGCCTCAAATGCCTTCCTTCCCGTCTCTGTCACGACATGTGTAATTTTGCCACTCTCATGCACAGCGCCGTAGCTCTGCGGGGCTTTGCTCCTTGGTCCCTCTACTTCCTATTTTCTCCCTTTCTCCATCTTCAGAAAATTCAGCGGGTGACCATTTTTCTCACGCACTCACTCGGGGTCAGGCAGGCTACAACATCTGACTTATTCCCCTCAGCCTATGGGCACTTTGTCTTCAAAACACTGTCCTATAAAATATGAATCAACGAGAGTCCTGCAGGTATTAGCTTTGCCTTGGAAGATGAGTTGACTCGATTTGGAGTCTCTGGAGGTCCGCTGTGTCCACTCTGTATAAAACCAGCAATATAAAAAGAAATAATGGACTGCCAAGGCTACAGACAAAAAGGATTAAATTGAGACAGCTTCACTACTTATTCATTTATATTCCTTTCCTGCCGGCGTAGACTTTCAAAATCTACAATTTTGAAACCTTCAAACTGTAGAAGGAGTGGACTAACTGAGTGCTAACGTGTTTGTGGAAGAAGCTGAATAGAGCCAGCTTGAACAGGCTATTTGAGCGGGAATGTGGAACCTAACTTGTGGAAATATGTGGGTATCAACAGCCCTGGAACCAAGAGCCAATCAGCAGCGGCCTGACCCCATTCGCGCTACTTGCTAAGCTAAAGCCGGAGATACTATAGGGCACAGACGACACCTGATTGGTAACAATATCAGAAATAAAATGTGCCACGAATGGTTTACTTTTCTACGTAAGTTAATAGGAGCCAGAGTGAGTTGGAGCAAAGCTTTGCCCATTAGCACTTCCCTATTGCACTTTGTTGTGCTGGGAAGTTAGCACTGTCCCTTTATATAGATAGATACTGTAACTTTATCACAGACTTAAGGTCCCGATCGACACAGACAAAAGTGCCAATGAGAACAACACAACAATACTTAACCTGCCTTTTGCCCCGGTCTGTCTGTGCAGGAGCAGAGTCCCAGCAACGCCACGTCCCTGTCCATGATGCAGGAGCCCCAGGAGGTGATGGAGGAGACGGTGACCATTGAAGAGGACCCCGGGACTCCAACCTCGCACGTCTCCGTGGTAACCTCCGATGATGGGACCACCCGGCGCACGGAAACCAAGGTACCAACATGGACAACTCACAATACCTCGCTCATGAACTAAAACAACCCTCTAATCAAACGTAGGTGCTTCCTGCATTGTTTTGAACTTCTTTGCTTTCTAAAAACTCATTAGCTGCCCTTCAACCATGTCTATACTGCTTTAAAGTATCGCAATATTGTCGAGATGAATTACTGCGTCCACTACACTCACCGCTTTGCCTTCCCTTTTACTTTTTAAGAACTCCAAATCCCATAATCCTTCAGCCCAAAGCCCTTGAGTTTTTTGGTAATTGTGTTATGGGCTAACTCCGTTGGCGAGTGTGTACAGCTGTGTGCCACTTTAAAAGCCTGTTTAGTGATTCGCCTTTTGTTGTGTTTTGTCGTTTTTCTGAAAGGATATTTCTCAGAACCTGAAGGTGAGTGATTTTACCAATATTCATATTTTTTGCGAACAAGTAAAATGGCTTTCACACCTCCATTTTACAATGCCCATATCCAGCTATTGCAGTCTCTCAAGCTTAGTGCTCACCGCTTCAGGGATACCGCATTTGCTACTAGTGTACTGTGTAATTTGCATGCTTCTCTTTTCTTCTTCTAATGCAGAAACAATGCAAATGGCATAGAAATAACTTTTGCATCATGGTTCTTTTTAATAACTTCCAGACATTGCTGATGGAAAATACATGAGCATTACTATTTTTCCAGTTTTTCCTTATAATATTTCCCAATTATCAATATTTACATCCCTAGGGAATGTATTGCAGTAAAATCTACTTCCTCCATAAGTATAATCAACCATAGTAAACCATTAATTTACCACAATGGCTACTTTATGATCTATTTAGCTTTATCCTATTAATGTTTAGAACCATTATTTAGGTTGCAACATTTCACCTTGTCTAGTTATTATTAGTTACATACAGATACAAGCCTGGAAATCTTCATGCTTGAATTGCCTACAGAGTAAGGTGAAAATATGCGTTTTTCTTACAGAGAGAAATGGCAGTTTGTTTACAATATATGTTTAACCCCTATGGGAGGGGCCACTGTGCAAATGCTTCAATTATATCCAGAAATTTAAAGTATAAAAAACCTCAATGTGACCTAAGTGTCCCCAAGCCTTCTAATTTACAAGATACATGAAAAATAAGCATTCAATTAGTTCCGACCTGGCATTTAAACGCTTTTTCTAACGCTACACTGAAGCAAGCAGATTACCTTTTTGGAAACTCTTTGTGGTGGTAGGTCTAGACAACTTGGCAGCTTTGGAGAAATTGTGTTTTCCCTCTCAGCCTTCAAAGTGCTAGTTCCCAGCTTCAGCAGCGCATTTTATGTATGTGCTTATGTGTGCGTTTGAACCAAAGTTGTGTCTTATATTAACATACTCCCTCCCTTTGATGGTTATCCCTGCTGTAACTGAAGGCAGATAAAGCGCAAGCAGCTCCTCTTTTTCAATTCACAGGAAAAAACGGCAATTTTCAATCAGCGGTTTTGCACTTTTATCAGGATGCCAAAGAAGGGAAAAATTCTTAGATTATCAGAAGTGTGTGGCTGTCGTAATATTGCATTTTGGGTATATTTTAAAGTGATACGTAGAAAAAATGCATTACAGACTTACTTCAACATTATATTCCAGTGCTTATGTATACATAAGAAAGTGCGAAAGTATTCGGCCCCCTTCAACCTTTCAACTTTTCGCCACATTTCAGGCTTCAAATATAAAGATATAAAATTTAAATTTTTTGTCATGAATCAACAACAAGTGGGACACAATCGTGAAGTGGAACGAAATTTATTGGATAATTTAAACTTTTTTAACAAATAAAAAACTGAAAAGTGGGGCGTGCAATATTATTCGGCCCCTTTACTTTCAGTGCAGCAAACTCACTCCAGAAGTTCAGTGAGGATCTTTGAATGATCCAATGTTGTCCTAAATGACTGATGATGATAAATAGAATGCACCTGTGTGTAATCAAGTCTCCGTATAAATGCACCTGCTCTTTGATAGTCTCACTGCTAATTTACACATCACGCGTTACAGCACGTACGCGTTATACGCGCAGCAGACGCGCGTAACTTTTTTCCATGTTAACCTATGATGATATTTACACTTCTAGCGTTATACACGCGTATGACGGACGTATGACGCGAAGCTGCGCTCTAATTTAGGATGGATTTCTAATTTTGTGCGCGCACCAACGCGTCTCCCATTGAAATCTCATGTAAAACATGATTTTTCTAGCGGTCCTTGGCTCTAGATCACATCTGCACACACACAGCACTTGTGTCTAAACATCAGCAGGAGGAGCAGCAGGTTTTACAGTGATTCTGGACATCGGTTTTTTTCTTTCATAAAGTCTCGCGTCTGGCCAAACCAGCGCACAGAGACCATGAAGACAAACACATGCATGTGATTTGTGTTGCTCTACATCAGTCCTCTGGCCCGTACTGTCCTCTACACTGCTCCATAGACTACACAGGGAGAGCATCAGAAGACGCGGACCTGCGCGCACGGCCAGTGTTGATACTCCAAAAAAATGTTACGCGCAGAGAGCGCGCAGTAAACGCGTACGCGCTGTTTACGCCTACTGTGTAAATTCCCTGTCAGGGTTCTGTTTAAAGCGCAGAGAGAACCATGAAGACAAAGGAACACACCAGGCAGGTCCGAGATACTGTTGTGGAGAAGTTTAAAGCCGGATTTGGATACAAAAAGATTTCCCAAGCTTTAAACATCTCAAGGAGCACTGTGCAAGCAATTGTATTGAAATGGAAGGAGTATCAGACCACTGCAAATCTACCAAGACCTGGCCGTCCCTCCAAACTTTCATCTCAAACAAGGAGAAGACTGATCAGAGATGCAGACAAGAGGCCCATGATCACTCTGGATGAACTGCAGATAACTACAGCTGAGGTGGGAGAGTCTGTCCATAGGACAACAATCAGTCGTGCACTGCACAAATCTGGCCTTTATGGAAGAGTGGCAAGAAGAAAGCCATTTCTCAAAGATATCCATAAAAAGTCTTGTTTAAAGTTTGCCACAAGCCACCTGGGAGACACACCAAACATGTGGAAGAAGGTGCTCTGGTCAGATAAAACCAAAATCGAACTTTTTGGCCACAATGCAAAACGATATGTTTGGCGTAAAAGCAACACAGCTCATCACCCTGAACACACCATCCCCACCTCAGCTGTAGTTATCTGCAGTTCATCCAGAGTGATCATGGGCCTCTTGGCTGCATCTCTGATGAGTCTTCTCCTTGTTTGAGATGAAAGTTTGGAGGGACGGCCGGGTCTTGGTAGATTTGCAGTGGTCTGATACTCCTTCCATTTCAATATAATTGCTTGCACAGTGCTCCTTGAGATGTTTAAAGCTTGGGAAATCTTTTTGTATCCAAATCCGGCTTTAAACTTCTCCACCACAGTATCTCGGACCTGCCTGGTGTGTTCCTTTGTCTTCATGGTTCTCTCTGCGCTTTAAACAGAACCCTGAGACTATCAAAGAGCAGGTGCATTTATACGGAGACTTGATTACACACAGGTGCATTCTATTTATCATCATCAGTCATTTAGGACAACATTGGATCATTCAAAGATCCTCACTGAACTTCTGGAGTGAGTTTGCTGCACTGAAAGTAAAGGGGCCGAATAATATTGCACACCCCACTTTTCAGTTTTTTATTTGTTAAAAAAGTTTAAATTATCCAATAAATTTCGTTCCACTTCACGATTGTGTCCCACTTGTTGTTGATTCATGACATTTTTATATCTTTATGTTTGAAGCCTGAAATGTGGCGAAATGTTGAAAGGTTCAAGGGGGCCGAATACTTTCGCAAGGTACTGTATGTATATATATATATATATATGTCTGTTTTCTTAATAGAGTTTGTAGCACACATAAGTATGAGATCCCCGCTACTTCAATGTAAGGAGAGGATTAAATATATTTAGGCTAGAGTCAGAAGACAAAGATTTGCTCTGGGAGATAGTAGTCAGAGGCAACAGATTGGTTTCCACCATGTATTGACCAAGATTACAGGGTGAACAACAAATTAGTGCAACTGAATTGCCATTCAGATATGTGCAATATTTAGAACATTTACAAATAAAGCAACAAGTTAGTCAACATACATTCAATACTCAAATAACCCCACCCATAGTAGAAAAAAACCCCACGTTGGGGAAAAATGGTGAAGGGAGAAAAAGCGTTTTATCTGACCGGTTTGTTGAGGGAATGTGGGGGGAAAGATTCTCTGGGCCACAGGAGCCCCCTACCCGCCCTGGGTTGAGCGACGGATGTGATGTTGGGCCCCCACGTGCAGTAGGAGTAAAGTCTTTGGTTTAGGCAACGTGTCTGGGTTAGCTCGCCATCGTTCTGGAGACCTGGCCTACACAAAGAACCAAAAGCTCCAATAAATGTATTGCTAAAACACAAGGCATCTCTATCAATACACATGTGCATCTAAACGGTTCATAGGGCTAATGATTTGGGGTGGTACAGCGCGCTAATTATTATTCATAACTCTATATATTACACTAAGAATGAAAGTGCAATAGGACAATCAAATTCAATATCTTAAAGCTGCACTAACTAACTTTGAGAAACTTTCGAATCAGGACGCTGTGCTCGCGCTCTCTGCTCGCCCTTCCCGCACGGAGCTTTCACCCCCCACTTCCCTTCCCCCCCAGCCTCTGCTCATGCTAACTGTATACAGAGCTCACGTCTCACAATATGGACACATTTGAACCTGGATGGCGTGGCCATAGAATAATAGAACCGGTGCGGAGGAACGAGACTTTCTTTTGTATGGCTGTTTCGCTGAGTAAGCAGTAACAGGTGACAAAGACATGGGAAGCTTCAGGTTAGCCTCCGCCGCTTGTTTACCTCAGCTGTCTGTGCTAACCAGAGACCTGTGGCTTTTCTCAAGAAAGCGGGGGCCAGTGATCCGCTGTAAAACCAAGGCATTTTATGACCAAAATCATTAGGCTAACCGCTCCCCATGTAAATGAATGGGAGCGTCTAGGCTAGCGAAACGTAATGCAACTCAATGGAGCGGCTACGGTGTATGCAAAAAACATTTAGCTTACCGGCTCCTTGATTGTCTTATGCACACAACCCCGAATGAACAGGATAACGGACGAGTAGACGACGGCCCCTACGAGTTAAGTAACACAAGTAGGTAACTAGAACAAGATTTCTGTGATTAAAAGCAAATAGTAACGAAAACAGACCTGCAGCTCAGCTTTCCTCTGGCGTCCCCACCTCTCACTCTGCTACTCACTAAATACCGCACCTGTGTAGTTGAATGCAGGCGAGGCAGCTCGAACGTGTGACGTCATCGCACAAGCGAGAGGCTCACACAAAACAATACAATTTTATTCAACAATATACTAGTTATGATAATCCAGATTTGACAGCTGGGTTACAAGTTACTTTATTATTATTTGATTGTTTTCTCACAGATATGCCAAGATAACACTTTTTTCAGTTGGACTTTTAAAGGACTTATGGATCAAATGATTTCTTTTGGTTTTGAGTCGTAATCAAACTTTTCCAATTTGTAAAGCGTGAAAGTTTTGAATGAGTTTAGGTCATTGCAGGGGTCAGCACAGGTGGGTCTAACCTATGCTGACCCCTGCAGCCTCCTGATTGATCAGTTTTAGATCAGCTTTTTCAGACAGAAAATTGTAAAAGAAATCCATGATCAGCCAATCAGCTCTCAGCCCAAAGCGTTAAATAGTCTGACAGGGCTCTTTCTTACAAGTATGCTAAACACTCTTTCTGTTGGTCCAAATATGTCATATTTATGGCAAACAAAAGTTAAATACATTGTTTGTCTATGTTCTCGCTGTCACATATGTTCTCTCTAAACATATATTACAAAAAATAAAACTCCTGTCAATTGGCTTTTCTACACAAACAACAAAATGCAATATGATATTATAAGCATCATATTACAATGAGCTCGACCATAGTTGCAGTTATATCCATTCATTGCATACTATTTATATGGGATCTTGCTCAATTCAACCTTAATTACAGTATGCTATATCCCAGCATGCCGTTCTTCTTTGGCCATTATCCGAGCTTCCTGAGGTGCGTCATGTCGGTTTGGATTCAGAACTCATAAAACCGCCTCCCTCCCCTGAACGCAGCTGCTAATGAGTGAAGACAGACCACACAAACAAATAAAAGCACTTTCACTGCTCACTGCGCAACAGGGAGCAGACAGCAGCGATGGTTATGGACTTAAGGAAAAACGCCAGATGGTTTTGTCTTTAGATTGAGATGGATGCTTCACCTATGAGATCATGGTGCACTATATAACATGAGAAATATATACTTGTCAGAATGTGTTATGGGGACAGTTTAATACCACTAGTTTTTCACTGATGGTCTGTTTATTTGATTAGTTTCTATCTGGGAATCATTTAGTTTATCCTATCATCCTGCATTATCTTACTTTCATTGGTACAGATGAAATTACAAAATCATCCACAAGTTATTTTATTTCTGTAATTCAACTTAATATGTGGGGCCACTTGCATGCAAAAGCCAGGTCGTCTCTGAAGCAAGCTGCGGCGCTGCTTACGTCCTGCGGTTTGAGGAGAATGTTGTAATTCCACAACCAACCACATGATGACGATCTCACAGGAGTTGCATGAGAAACCCATGGAGAAACCAAAGCGGTGTCATTTACGCTGCTACTTTCTCCTCTTCAGAACAAAAACATGAACAAACCGAGCTGTTTGAGATCATTACATGTGTTTCTGCTGTAGGTTTATGTGATAGTTCTATGGACTCATTATTTCTTAACTCATTTAACTGTGATGTTGTGAATAAAGACACAGTTCTTGTTGGAATACTAAATTGTATTCGGCACAAACAGCAAAACAATAAGTGGTAAATATCTGAGGCAAACATGAACAATTTATAAGTGCAGGAGGAATGGAACAGACGTGATAAGCTACGTGTGCAGATTCAAACAAAGACAGGAACAGTGCAAAACAAACGACTGCACAGTTTATAAGTTATATATATGTTAGATATGCAACAGAACTCTAGTCCACAGTCTCCGCGTATATCAGGCTCTGAGCCCAAACTGCTTTTCCTTTGTTTCCTTTGAAGCACAAAGCTCTCTGCTCCGAAATGCCTCGTCCATTGTCCCTGCTGCAGCCGCTTCATGCTTCCGCCCAAAACACACACACGGACCAATCACAGCGGAGCTTCCTTGCGGCGACCCTTACGTAGTTAGAAAATTTCGATGCTGCGCGGCAGGCAACGTAAGGGCCTTGCGGTGACCAACGCATTGCGAGTGACGTCACGTCACCTCAGTAAGCTCCGCGCCGCGCGAGTATACACTAGACTTAAGAAGGGCAGGGCCAATTATTGTGTCCTTAGGCAAGCCTAGAATGAGTCTGGTATGTGCTTGAATGGATGTTGATAAGAGGGGCCAATGGCATTTACTGGTTGCCTTGTTTCTGTTGGTTTGCCCCAGGGCAGCTGTGGCTACAGTAGTAGTTAATCACCACTGTGTATGGACTGAAAAAATGATTCCATGTGAAGCGTCTTTTCATGTCCAAAAAAGTGCTCTAAACACAACGCATCATTGTTATTATTACAGTGATAGGAATGATATGCCAACTTATGCCAAGCCTTTGTTTGTTATAATTTTGATAATTATGGATGACAGTCCATAAAAAAAAAGTGTTTTCTGAGATTATTATGATTTTATTTTGGTGTTTTAGAAGATGTGAGCCAAGTATTAACATAATTAACGAATAAAGACGTGACAGAAGTCACTTTGCGTGTAATGATTCTGTCGTATATTAGTTTAACTTTGTGTCTTTTTTAAGGATATTCTAATATCCTGAGTTTGGTCGTGCCATAGATTGATGCCATCTTTGATTGCCACCCCCCTTACCCAGAAATGGATTAAAGGGTAGAAAATGGATGGATGGATGGATTTATGGAAGGATCTGGACAATCTTCAGGAAACCTCCGGGATGGCACAATGAACAAGTGATTACATTTTGGAGATGATCCGGATCTCTTTAAGGAAGATTTCTCTGTCTGCCTTCTGAAGCCAAACACTCCTGACTCCTCTACAGAGCGAGCAGCCAGACAGAGCAAAGGACACGTGTATGGAGGAAAGTGGAAAGTAATTGCGAAACTGCTCTGTACCTCGACTCCCACTCTGTACCTCGACTCCCACTGACTACTGTTGTTGTGTCCTTGGCAAGACACTTAACCTCTGGGAACACCAGGTGCCACAGTGGGGCGGCTGCGGCTGTAAAGTGCCAAACTGCCGTTGTATCCTTAGGCAAGACACTTCACCCCCATTGCCTAGAATGAGTCTGGTGTGTGTGTGAATGGTTGGTGGTGGTCGGAGGGGCCGATGGCACAGACTGGTTACCTCGCTTCTGTCAGTGTGCCCCAGGGCAGCTGTGGCTACAGTAGTAGTTTATCACCACCGTGTATGGAGTGAATGAATAATGACACATGTGAAGCGTCTTTGAGTGTCCAAAAAAGCGCTATATAAAACCGATGCATTATTATTATTATTATTACCTGCTTTTCTTAAACCTTCTCAAATGTATTAAGTCATTGAAGTTGTGATGACAGGGCTGTGCATGAGGTGCTGCCCGGACAGTAGTGTTTTTAAACTGCTGCACATGAGCACATGGATCCTGCAGCTACGTGTTCCTGCAGGATTATATTTTTATCCATCCAAATACAGCTGCAGCGCTGTGTGCAACAGGGACTTAGTGATGTGGCAGTTCGATGCAGCTTTTGTCTCGTTATGAACACACATGTTTCTATTACATCCCAGTGCAAAAGAAACTGATGGTTGGGATTCTTCTTTCACTATGTTCACTATGAAATGAAATGAAAAAAAAATGAAATGAATTTAAATAATTAAATCATTAATCAGTAAAATTAAAACAAATTATGAAAAGTTCATGAATTCTCAACATGGTGTCTCAAATGTCATAATTAGAATACTAGCCATTTTTAGGTATTACAAAAGACATTTTATGCAAACATGATTGAACTGTTCGTTGTTTGATAAAAGCTTTTTCTCCCCCCCCCACTCCTCCTGCTGTAGGTGACTAAAGTGATCAAAACCATCACACGCCGAACGTACCATCCAGTGATTCTGTCTGAGGGTCTCATGGTGGAGTCCAGGCCCGTGACCCGCACCCCCACCCCCACCCCAGTGTCTGTTTGTGAGACCGCCCCGGGGGACACTGAACCAGTAAAGAGCAAATGCATGGGACTGTGGTGCTGTCCTGTTTGAGAAACTAACTCCAAGTCTCGACTAATTAATACTTCCATCCATCCATCCATCCATTTTCTTCCCCTTAATCCATTTCTGGGTCGGGGGGGTGGCAGTCAGAGCTGCACCCAGTACACAGAGCACCAGCCCCTCACTGATCCTCCTGCAGGTGGTGAGTCCACAGGAGCTGAGATCTTTCAGTGGGAGCTTCAGGCAAAGTGGGGTTAAGTGTCTTGCCCAAGGACACAACGACAGCAATCATCAGTGGGAATTAATACTTAGTTAACTCAAAAAAAAATTATGTGGATGTATAGATACAATGGCTTTTTACCAAAGAACAGGGAAAGCAATTTTATTAATGTTAGAATTCCACCACTAATGTACAAAATTCTTTATAAAAATCAAACGTTTTAAATCATAGTGGTAAGGAATGGAATATAAAAATCAAGCATTGTCTCACTTACTAAGAAAATTTGCATTGACCATTTTTACCATAGATTAGCTGGCAAAAGATTGAAAATAAATATTTGTTTTAGCTTTTAAGAATATATTACGGAAACAGCAGTGTTTTTTCAGTATCAAATGCAATATAAATTATAAAATATAACATGGGAGAAGAAAATCCAAAATGAGAAACAATTGCCAGAAAATAATGCGTTGCAGTGAGCTTTACGCCATGCTGGTGAAATTAGTGCCTTACCACAGCCATTCCCATTCCCTGGAAGTGACCACAAATGAAAAGATTGCTGAAAATGGAATAATAGTGAAAAAATGGTTGGAGTTACTACATCCACATTTAGACAGTGTGTCAGCGTCGCAAGAAACGAATCATTTGTGTTTCCATTTGTGAAAGCCATAATCCCAGAGGTTGTAAAGTCCACAATTACTGCTGCGCCCAGACCAGTAGTGGTCCGCTGCACAGACCACTTACTCTGCTGTGCTTACTGTGCAGTGAAGTGCATGGTTTAGCGCCTTCTACTTCGCCCTCCTTCTTTAACAGTTTGGTCAACAGCCGAGGCATGTGAAAATAACTGCTTGTGGTGGAGAGCTTTTGCACGACTTATGTAATTGACTTACTTAATGGTACAGTGAGTAACTTTTCTGCATGTTATGGTATGTCCTTATTCCATTACAGAATACGGATCTGAATACTTACATAGAGGGCCAGCTCTCCTCGATATAAATTGATTTATAATCTATTTTATAATTTAGCCTTGTAAAATAACACAATCTTCTCCAATTTAGGTAAGAAAGTTTAATGCCAAAATGAAAAAGGAACATCTATAAATGTGTTTCTAAGAGTTGGCAACAGTTTGAGTCTAAAACATACAAAAGAAATAAATTGGGAATCTGTTGCTATTCTTTAGTTCAACATCAGTATTCCTATAAATATGTAGTCTATAGCCCTGTTTTTTAAACCAAGAACATTTATACCTGGCCAGCCACACGTTTCTCCTTTCTGCTGCTCACAACCATTCATTCCACAATTATTATCTATAGCTCCAATCAGAAGATGGCAGAAGGCAATTTGCCTTTTGTATTTGCTAAACTTCTCCACATGGTTTCATGACAAAAATAGTGTGAGGGTTAGAGGGGTCAGCCAGGACACAGAGGTGGCCTCCATGGAGGGGGGCATTCAGGGCAGGATAGATGCAAATATATCCTAACACTGTGTACTTTTATCAATGTTGTACATCTTTCTGGATTTGTTGTACATCTTTCAGGACATTTTGGAAATGTAATCTCGCCCACCAAAAAGACACAATACAAATTTCCAAATTGGAAAATATAACATGCTTCTACATTAGTCCATTTTTGGCAGTTGCACAGTCTGATTTTAACTTATTCTCTAAATATAAAATGCGTTGTTCCTGTTTTGAGTTAAAGCAAACTTATTTTCCTTGCCTTTCAGGGAGGAAGGACAGATCAGAATAGCCAAGGACACACATTGCATTTTACCATGAAGCTCAAACTAAAAAGTGAAGTTTATATATCAACCATTGCCAGATTAAATCCCATAAAATTCATTAAACAAGTATGTTCCAATGGTTTTATAATCCTTCCATATTAATATGAGGAACTTGTGGCACAAACATGTAGCCCTGCTCCTTCTGTGTAAAAGCTCTTGTCTCACACCTGTAATAGCATGTTTTATTTTTTGTGTCTGGTACATGAACAAACATGATCAGACACATGAACAAAAACACACAAGTACACTAGATAAAACATACAACAAACCACAGGAAATCCTATCATTTGACAGTCCATACACACAGCGTTGAAGCATAAAGAAATATTCCAAACAGGTTAAAATGCATAGAATCCACATAAATTGCACTCACCCCACTATTGCACACAACCTTTGCACATTCCCCACCATCCCACACATAATTCCTACTGTCAAATAACATTCTTTGCAGTCACATGAAAGTGATTATATCGAATGGTGTTTGTTACAATTAAAACACTCAAGGTCAACCCATGAGAGTGGAAATTACAAACATTTTTATTTTTAACTCTGCAAACACTGAAATGTAACAGCGCCTCTCACAATGGGAAAACAAACCTTGGCTTAACAAAGAAAGCCTCGTTACGGTCGTGCTGAGCCTAATCAAGGCCGCTGAAGTTTGTTTGTTCCACAGTTAATGAGGACGCCATATTGGAGAACCCATATGTGGTTGGTGCTTTTTTTTGCACCAAGGGTAAATGCCTCGTGTCTTTCTTGATATTATTACACGCTCTGGCTCGGCCCTGATTACGATCTAAATTGTGGCACTGATGGAGAAAATATAGAGAGTGTATTAAAAGAGATGGTGTTGCAAATTAAACTGATCGCTCGCAGAAATGAGCCTTTTGGTAGCTCCAATCTTTAAGCTGAGGAACACAATTCCAAACAGACTCCTGGTGCAGTTATGGCACAGAATGGGTTACATATTGCGTGTAATCCTATGAAAATGTTATTATATCGTCTATAATCATTACACATGTATGCCAAGTGATTCAATATTGGTTAGCAATTTATATATATTAAAAAATGTATATAGCATACGATCCAGTTCCGCCTGAAGTACTGTACTTTAGGTTCTTTTTTAAAGAAAAATGTCCAGAACAACAAACGTATCCAATAAATAAACATTATGCACAACTAATTAAAAAAAGAAACTGATTAACTCCATGAACACTTACAAGTTGCTCTAAGTGAAATAAAATTAAGGAAAAACAATTATAAGACGGTTATCCCTGATGCAGGACGGTCTAAGGACATGATCCAGGACATATATTCTTTGGATATAATCATGAGGACCCCCCACGAAAACGAGATGATTCATTTCATGGGGATTATCCGCCAATAAAATGTCCCTAAATAAATAAATAAATAAATATATAGACATGTTTGGACATCGGTCCTTTTCTATGGAACTTTGTGTTTATTATTCCTTATCTGTTGTTAGCAAACTGACAAATGTGTAAAGTTCACCAAAGCGACTGTTTTTGTGAAGTGGGACTCAGTAAAGTAAATGGAATTGAATAGTAAAAAAACAGTCAAAATAGCATGAATGTCCCCTTTAAATGCAGTGGCTTGCGACTATTTGTACCAATAAAAAGATATGGAGTTGCATCAATTATTGTAATGGCTCCACAGTGATAGCTACCCAATGTCGGATAATAATGTGTCATATTTCATTTCTTACTGGGAAAGTTTGAAGTACAAATAATAAAACAAAAGTGGATATTTTAGCTGGATGCTAACAGTTCATCGACTTGGGAATCATTGTAGCTATGGCCTGTGATACAAATGACTTCCATATAGTCATCCACGGAGCACTTTAGCTCTCATCCTTAGCCCTTTTGGAAACACCTTTTCAGCCACAACATGCAAAGTATCAGCCCCCCGCCGCTCCCGCCACTCCATTATTATAAACCTCATTAAAGTTGGAGATGGATTTATAGCTGCAGACAAAATAGCCAATTATCGGCCACAGCAGAATTCACTGGCCGCAAATGAGCTTCTGTATTGGCAGGCGGTCCAAAGAGGAAGTAAGCCTGTGATTCAGTAGGCAGGCTTTCACAGAGAGCGCTTGGGTAGACAGCTTGAAGGAGTAAGTAAAGGAATGGGAGAAGATATCTTGGCAAATGTAATGTTACAGATATGTTATTGGAATGTCTGTTTGATAATGATTTAACAGCGTTGCTCCTGTGTTAGCCTGAATTCAACCAATAGATAAATGTGGTTACAAGACATAAAGCTGGGGTACCTAACTTGCAAACGGCAAGAAACGGAGCTATGTCATAGAATCCATGTTTCCTCGCTCTCTTAACAGTTCTATCCTTAGTTTTCACATGCATGTATTTTGGCTTCTGTCACATATGTATATCCCCTTTTTCAAACAGAAACGTGAAAAAGCTGTTATTTAAGTAAGAGTGGGTTATACAAAGAAACATCTGAAACTAATTCAGATGTACAAGAATTAGTTGTGCATTTTAATCGTGCATAGATTTCTTTCTCTAGTAATGAATCTTTATTTATATAGTGCATTTTATAGACCAAGGTCAGCCAAAGCACTTTACAATGTGCAGCTAGAACAGATATTAGTGTTTCTTTAATCTTTCTTGCATCTCATTTTAACATAGGCATTTGGTGATTTCAATACTGTTGTTGAATCTGGCACAAACAGCCTATCTTATAAAAACAGCACGGAAAACCTCATTTGTTATTTTTTCCCCTGAGGAACGTTTTAGAAAGAATGCGTCTTACGTCCGGATATTTATAATTACTGTTCCTCTGTGCCAGGCATTAGCCTCTATAAACCTTTTTTAATAGCCTTTTTATATCAAATGACTATGAGTAAACCACCAAAGGATATTGTACTAACTCAAGTCAGTCAGATTCCTTTCGCTTTTATAGACTAATTTCAGAAAGATCAATACGTCCTTTGAAATTCATACCCTTCCGGACTTTTTACTTTTTCCTATTTTGATTAACTTGTCTATTACCTTTATAATGTGGCAATAAAGTCTAAAGAAGGAATTAACTATGTATTTTATGAAATGAATATTATTATTATTATTATTATTTACATTTGATTTTATGAAGCTTAAGCGCATATTCAAACTGAAAGACAGAGTGCAATTCCTCCCATCCAGGCCAACCAATCACACAGCCCGGCCAGCCTCTTGCCAACCCTCTGACAGCAAAGCGGGCAGTTTAAAAGGCAACCACTTCCTGACAAGCAGCGCTTCCTGAAGTTCTTAACACCCACCACCTCCCCAGTGCCTCCTCCAGCTCGAGGCTCCCACTCTGGCTCCTGTATTTCCCACACATTTTGTAATGGTAATTTAGATCAAAAGATAGATAGATACTTTATTGATCCCCCGTAGGAATTTCACAGCTGATATTGTTCTTTACAATCACATTTCTGTATTTGCAGCCGGTAATATTCAAATTTGGGCATTAAAAATATTACAAATTCAACTCCCCTGGTGGTAGCATACAGAGTTACAGATGAAAAGCGTTTACTCTTCCTACTTGTTTCGCCATATATTTTCTACTTATGATATCATTTCACATTCTAAAACATGAAATTACTTGTTGAGTCACATTTTTTCACAACTCAGACAATACAGTAGCCTGGTCGTACCACTCTATAGTACAAATGACATTTCGTACTAAGGTCTGGACGTGCTCCATTGAGCTCCGTTTACAAGTGGGAGGGGTTAACTACTTTTGCAAATTGAAACGATTGGATCTGAGTTTACCGTGACGTATGTAATGCGCCCGAGTGAGTCGTTAGCATTTAGCATTTAGCCTAGCCATCTCCTTTGCTGCTAACAGAGCCCGTGGGGAGTAGCACCACAATCTTTACCAGCGATTACATTTGCTAAACATTCCTCTTGCTCCTTGCGTCAATTTCTTGAGAGAACCAGACTGGATTACTTTACTATCGCATTCTTCGCCACTGCCAAACCACAACCTGCCTGTTTGGTGCAAACTCTTGATGTCACCGGCATCGACCTACAACGCGCTCTCTAATTGATCGGTCGAAATTCAGCCGATTGTAATCGCTAACACAGGGACCAGACCCAGACGTTACATGCAGTGAAATTATGATTGAGCGGAGTGTACGGATGGCTAAGGCCAGGCTAACAATACAGATCATTTGAAAAAAAAAGAAAAATTATGACTGATATAATAAGTTAAATAATGGGAGAGGCAGATACAGAACATCTCCTCAGAGAAATGCAGGTGGCATTTACCCACACCATAAAAGTGCACAGTCTACCCGTTGCCATTTGTCCGGTGCATTGCAAATGAGAATGTGCTCATCTGTAATTGCTGTATGAATCAGCGCTAATTAAACCCGTCCAAATCAGTTCTCAATTATAAACTTGCTCGTGCAGATTTGGCTGTGCTTGGCCGCTGTGTGGTGTCAGTGTCACGCTCACTTTGGCATGACTCTAGTTGGAACTAATCACCATTTTTTTATTAATTATTCTTTGTTTTATCACATTGATGTTGAGATTGTGAAAGGCTTGTGTGTGAACATGTTTTTTTGTGGTTGTAACAAGGCCAAGTTAAAGTGATGCTGCTTTAAAAGGTTGCGTTCCTGTTCTAGAATTATATTTCAGTTGGAGGGCAGCCGCCTATTAAACGCTATGGAAAAGATAGGTGGGAAAATAAATTCTGACAATAAAATGTTTTCCCAAATCATTATATATATATTTTACATATATTATACATGTATTTTTGAGTAATATATTTTTGAGCATTGTCACCACTTCTCGACACCTTCGTGAAAAAATAATTAGACAGTTGTTAATTTATACAGACAAACTGACAAAGAAGATTTGTTTAGTGATTTGTCCGGGGATTACAGAGAAATTAGCTAAAATTTTTCAGCTGCAATTCACCACAATGTTAGACAATTTTTGCACTAATTGGAATGTTGTGATGTCACATGAACGCATACTATATAACAATAAACATTTTTCACATGTCTTTTGATGATCTCAGTCTGCGTAATAAAACCTATTCTCTCAGTCTTTTTTTTTTTAAATCTGCTTTTCCGGATGATAATTTTTTATTTTGCCAACTATTCCAAGCAATTAGTTGCAAATAACCCATTGTTTATTTCAGCTTAACTGATCTAACCCATTTCTCACATAATTTACCTCCTATTCGATCAGATTCCTGACATATCTCTCTCCTCTTTGGCAGGTGACTAAAATGGTGAAGACGGTGACCACGCGAACAGTGCGCCAGGTTCCCCTTGGCCCGGACGGCTTGCCCCTGCCCGAAGGAACCTCCCCTCTGGGCAGCTACGACTCGATCGACCGGCGCTACATGAAGAACGGAGGCTACATCACCCCGCAAGCCACCTCCACCCTCACTCGCGCCTACAACAACTCCTACAACGACTCATACGCGGACACGCCCGAGAGCCAGTACATCCGGCATTATGCGCTGCACGATGGCTATGCCGGTCTGACAGACAACTACGGAAGCCTGTCCCGCGGGGTCAACTACCGGCCCCCGCGCTACCCCTACATGCCGAACAGCTACCACCCTGAGAACAGCTACACTTTGCCGATTCGCAAAGACGACTACGGTCACGTTGCGCAGCCGCAGGTGCCGATGGGCAGCAGCACAGTGGATTTGAACCGGTCGCAGCCGGAGAGGTTTCAGCCCGAGCCGTACGGGCTGGAGGACGATAGGCGGAGCATGGGAGCAGAGGAGGAGGAGCCTTACGAGCTGGAGCCGGATTATTCCACTGCAAACAGGCGCACTCTGCCGTCGGCCAACAGAGGGCGCACTCACCGGGAACCGCTGCGCAACGGGCCCCGAGTCAGGTGAGGCAAATATGAGCAGTGTGTTGTGTTTGGCTTGTTTAACCCTTTAGGCACCACAGTTTTATGTCTCACTGACACATTTGGAGCTGCTTTAGAGTTTGGGATGTACTAGATTACTTGTAGTCTGCGTTCAAAATCCTTCAACAACTCTTTACGTGCCAGATTTATTGCCAGAAATTCTATGTGAAATAGACAAAAGGTGAAGCCCTTAAATATTATAAGAGATTGTTGGAAAATATGTTTTATAAGGTAAAGGAAGTTTGGAAGCTAGGTTACTGTATTGACATTTTCAATGTTGTTGTTTCAATTCAGTATGTATGCTAGGAATACCTTCTAAATGTTGTGTTCCAAAATGGATGGATGATGTAATGATTATATTCATTGATGTCTTGCTAACCATATTTGTAGTGGATTTTTCCAGGGTGTGTTTTATTCTATTCTTCACCATATGGGTAGGTAGGTCAAGTGGTCATGCAAAACATATGGATATGTGATTATGTATTTCCTTTGTTACTCACCTTACATCAAACCCTAAAAAGCGGTGTGTTGTTTTCATAAAAGTGCTCCATTACACTGTAGACAAGCAAACAGATGTCTCTTCCTCCAGAGCAACTTACTTGGGAGGAAAAACAGGCAGAAACAAGGCTTTGATTGCTATTTACCCACAAATGGATGGTGAACATGTGTTGGTGTCAGGGGCCAAAGAGGCAGTGATGATTGGAGACAGAATCGTGATGTGAAAGTAGAAAGGGAACAGAGGGTTTTGAGTAGAGATGAGACACTAAGCCTTTCTTTTTAGTGTATTTGTATAGAAAAACTAAAAATCTGTATATTTTTCCCCTTTTTATTTGGGCTGCAATTAACAATTTTTGATAACCTATCAGTTGACTAATTGATTACTTGCTTGGATCCCAAACATGGAATTTTTTATTTTGTTTGACCAACTCGAGTGAAGTGAAATCCCTGGATAACATCTTCAGAGAGATTACTCATTTACTTTGTAAATACATTTTAATTCCATTCTTGTGTCATTGTTGTGGAATCTTGGCTCAGGCATAATGCACTTAATGCACTTATTCAGTTGAAGTAAATCTGAGGTTAGAACACTGGCATGAGTTGTCGTAAGTGATACTGCCTTTTGAAATGAGACTCCATGTTGTTCACAATTTTCTGCAAATCACTTATATTAGTCTGTGCTATGGCCTATCGCACTCATGTTGTGATCTATTACTGCCACTGCTGATGGCGCACACACAGAAATGCACCCAGTCATTCAATATGTCCACATGTTGAGAGAATGAGTAGCTCCCCCATTCATTGAGAGAGACACTGCTGTGACAGGCAATCTGCGGCACCTTTACATGTCACAACACTGTACCAACAACTGCACTCCATCACTAATATAAAGTCACATGTCTTTCACTTGGATGGAGGCAAGCTACCATCTATAGATCTTCCTGTAGTGCTTTCTGGGGAAATGTTGAAGGAAATGCAGGAAGGACACGCAGTCATTCCGTGGATCTATTATAATAACTGGATAGGGTATTACTAGCTTGTAGCTGAATAACTCATGTGCTCGGGGGATTCTCGCGGTACTGAACAAGACTAAATTCACGTGGGCTACCCAGAAATTTTCCCCATAGAACTCAATGTAAACTAAAACAGCGTGACCTCAGCTGACAAAAAACCTACAGCTTTCATAAAGATCGGATTTTGTGGGGATTTTAGTGTCCCTTGTCATCCTGAACCGTGCCGGCACAAAGCGCCACTGAGCACAAACCATGCATTTGAATACGGCGCCATCTTGGATCGCAGGGGCTTGAGTCATTCATGCAACATTCATTTACTTTTGGATTGAGAAAATGTAAGAACAACAAACCTTATCAACAATAAATATGCCTTGCATGTATTTATAATACGCATCACATTTGCCGGCAAAGTGGTTAGCATTCTCGCTTCTCATCAAGAAGGTCCTTGGTTAGAGTGGAGTTTGCATATTAAAGCACTATTAAAGCAACAAGGTTGTTTTGGCACCTGCCCTTCCACCGAAATCGAATTCCTGAACATGAACGCAAACTTATTGTCATTTATTGAATGAAGGGCACTTGAAGTACTACAGTGTCACATGGATGTCAAGGATTTAAATTAGGGAGTTGTGTATTTGCTGCATATTTATGCTTTTTTTTAAACTCTTTTACGCCTTTTAACTCTTTAAGATCCAGATTCAGATTCATTTATTTCAGATTCATTTATTTCAGATTCATTTATTTCAGATTCATTTATTTGCCATTTGCAGTAAAACCACATAGGAAAAACTGTGCAAGACTACCCCAGTGTGCACCAACGACACACACCAGAGCTCTTGCCACGGCGCCATCTTTACGCCACTGGTATAAAGTAAATTGGAGTCAATACCCAATGAATGGTTGCAACTAAGTTACCATGGCATGTTATTACACCAATCACCTTTAGATTCACTGCACAATATTTTCCCTGTACCAGCATTTAAAGTTAATGTTTTAAACCTGTTTTAATCATGCCATTGCACAATTTTGTGTCTTTGCATTCACAGCACAATGAATGTTTTCCTAGCACTAAAGTGGTTTAATGAATCTTGGAGTAAAGACACTTTAATTACACCTTATCTATGCAATGCCAGTCCTCAATTAGGCTGTAGCAAAAATGAAGACGTTTGTGCAAAAACGGCCTCTCAACTCACCACAGTGCACGCATTTCTTAGCCTAGTGGATCGCGTTGTGTGTGTAATCATGTGGATGCGTTTGATAAAAAAGATGAGATCCTCTGCATTGTAAAACCATGCCTCACTCTCTTGGTTAACGGTTTGTGATAATTTTGATTTCTGCTCAAATGGAAGAAAATTGCTGAATAGACAAGTATGGAAATTCATGTTGAAGCCAGACGAAGCGGCTAAGGGCTTACAAGAGTACGAGACTGTGTTTGCATTTTCTGATTGTCCCTCTTAAACTGAGAAATCCCATTTACATATTTTAGCATATTGTGTTAAATTAGCCCTATCATTTGGAGTTAATGGATTTTACTGACAATTGTTCTCTTTGTTTTGGGAATTGTTTTTTTTTCTTCTGATAAGTGCTCCATGTAACTTGTCTGGTGGGTGTAAGTCAACTTTTCCATTTTGTATCAACTAAAATAAATGCATAAATAAAAAGTTACTGTGAGTGGGAGCGATGTGTTGCTAATACCATCTTGTTTCAATGAAAGCAAACACATTTACGTTTAAGTCCGCTCTCGACATTTCTTGTGCATTATAAATCAGAAAATCCTTGTGTCCCCTTGTCATTGGGTTAACTATTTTCCTCCAGCAAATAATACTGGTCGTAGTAACAGAAAGGGACTATTTTAGATTTCAAACATACATATAGAAATTAATCTATACATATCTAAAAAATTGCATTGCTATGTTGGTAAAAAATATCAGATTTAGATATTTTGCCATAATATACCTGCATGTATATAACAGCAGTTGTTTTGGGATAATGGTGAATTTAGACTCTATTTACTTTTACTCCATCACATTTTAAATATTCTGTATTGCATAATCAAGGAAAATGGTTTCAAAATAATTCCTGGACATGAAAATATGGACCAGCTGTATTTTGCCGCCTTCCATCCTGATTGCTCTGCTGTCTGCCTTATGTCAGTTTGATGAATAGTGTTTTTGAACAGTGGTACACGACCAGGGCGTCAATCTGTAATGGCTCGTCTCTCCTTCACTGACCTATCTCTGCTCCAAGTGCTACCAACATATCAAGACCAACAAATCCACTGGGCACTATTTTCTTATTTTTTTTTTCAATTTGGTGATATGATGTAAAAAAAAAAGATTACTGGAATTATTACCAGCATATTCAATTTTTGTTCTCTTTTTCTATTTTATTGTCAGCATTCCCATTGTTACGACCCAGCTAGGGCCGTAACACCCATTATTAATGTTGAAACACAGACAATACAGGGGCAGGTTCCATATAATGCATTTGACTTTTACCTGTTAGATAATATATGTTGTTTGTTCCACAACAATCAAACTGAAACATGTTTTCAGTCTGATTAGAAAACACATTGTAATTTGTTGTGTGTGTGTGCACATGAGTGTGTTATACTTATCCCTGTGAGTCACAATTGGATTCTTTGGGCTGAGAGCTTATTGGCTGAGTGAGGGTGGTCCACACATTCACACTTTTCTGTGAGGCCAAAAAAATACATGCAAATATTTGTGATAGAACCAATTTTTTAGAAACTGAGAAACATGGATACTTGGATTTTATCAAATACTTTTTGGTAGGTTTGAAAGAACAAATAAAATGCCATTAACCAGGGCCTTCTAACAGAAATAAACTAAACAAAAATGGTTGAATGAATGAATCTTTTATAACAGTGATATACAATACATACATTATTTATACATTAAAATAATGAGGCACTGGTTTCCCATTTGTCAGTTGTCTGTACTGAACCATGATATAACTGCTACTGTACATGATTTGAAATGTGTTGCCTGCTTGTAAGCCCCTGGGCATCTCTCACAAATGTTAAGTCATACCTAAGCAACTACAGTATTAAACATTCATTCAATAGACCATCTCAAATACCCATCATATATGTCTTGGTTTACAACATATCTGTCTTGTTGAAGTTTCATCAGCTGTCATCATTACGGTAAGCTCTCCTCGATGAAATTAAATATGACTGAATATTACTATCAAAGCCGTAAACATTGTCGTCAAAATAGCCCAACAAATTAGTGATAAACTTGAGATAAACACTCCGGCTTTTCTGTGCTCCATAAAGAGTCCTGTGTGCCATAAAACAATTATTGCCTAGGATTCAAAATGAGCTCACGAGGGGCTTTGGGAGAAGTGCTCATAAATGATGTTCAGAGGAAATGTGTGGAGATGAGATGCAAACACGATTTCTACTGTGGCTTATCTGCCTGCGTTCAGCCCTATTATCCCTGGGCTGAG